AATTAAATATTTTTCAGTTTTTCCAGGATTTAATATGCACTCTGTTAGACATCTAGCGTACTTCTGCTTGGTATTAAAGGAATGTTATCCTTTTTCAAAAGGAAATAAGGACATGCAGATGGATTCTGATTTTTACATAGTTATTCATTTGCCTGTCTTGTCTTTCAAATTGGTCAGAACAGTTTGAGGTTTTTTTTTTTTTTTTTAAGTTAATAAGTAATAGAGTAAGCTTTATCTTTTATTGAGGAATAGGATTGTTTTTTCACTGTTTAAAATAAAAGTGTATTGAAAGATGAGTTTTACAAACACCTTGATAAGCAGCTGCAGCCAAAGGTGTCCATGAGAAGAGTAGAGAGTTTGATCTGTCCAGATGGGCCTTCTGATCTTCAAAAACTGAAGTTTTTGATATAAGGCTAGGAGGAATAGTTGGTAAGGCTCCAGAATTAATTCAAATTCCCCAAATAAATTCTTCCATAGCTTTTTATTCTAGTTTTATGCTAATTGTCTTCCAGTGAGTGTCATTGGAGTTGGTATAATTATCTGTAGGGAAGTCTTGCATCTTTTCTGCTTCCTACAAGTCTGAGTATATTTTGTGGAACTTTGCTAAACAAGGCTTGAAAATTCAAGTGTTCTGAAACCTCAGTTGATTTTGTTGCAACTTGTTCAATAATTTTTTTTTACATTTTGTTCTGAAGGGTTTTAAAACATCTGCAATCTTTGTGTGGGAAAATAAGAGTATTTTATTTGCTCTGTAAAGTGGAACATAATTTGATTGTTAATGGGTATTAGCATAGGTCAAGAGAAACTGGTATGTTAGTGATAATGAATTAAATTTTACAGACTATAACACAGTTTTCCTGTGTTGTGTGTACCTTTAGTAGTGCTATGCTGGATAAAGGACAATGCAAAATAACAAACTGATAAAACTGGAGACTCAGGACTGGCATGGTAATTAAAATACTAGGGTTCATTCATGTTCAAAAAATACTTTGTTTTAATAATTATTTGATCTTCGTTTGGGTGTTTGATTAATACAGATTTTCGTATTGAGTTTATTGTGCTTGAGTTACTATAGTAATGTTGTCAAAAATCACATACTTGCTCAAGAAAACGTTCTCTCCGGTTAATATTTCAAAGACTTAAGAATTTTGAGGTATTGTAATACTAAAATAATACCTGTGGAATTAAAAAGCATGTATGGTCTGTGTAGGGGTTAGTTAAGATTGATAAAAAAGTGGCTGATCGTCTCTCATTGGCTTTCTGAGGTTAAACTGCCGCACCGTGGGTTACCAAAAGTACTGGTTTCACTTTTCCCTGTAACCAGTTGCCATAGCTGCCACAGTGATATGTAACTGAAACTGGGAAAGGAAGTAATGAGTCAAAGAAGGCAGCTGTGAGATTTGCTAATATGTTAAAAGCCTCTCTCTTACCTTGACAAAATTTATTTTATGCATTTCTGTAAAAGGTGAGCAAACAAGGACTGAGTAGCACACTCAGCTCTCTGAATGCATTGACCAGTGCATTAAGTGTGACATCCTTTACAGGGCAGATTATCCATCAAGTGTCTCCATGTGAGGAGACTGTAGGTGCTATTTCAAAGGTTAGGTTCAAAAAGGAACCTTTGCCTGTTTAAAGACAAGCAGGGAATTGTATGATATCCCCATTTGTAGTGCACATCAGTGTTTTACAGGGCTGGGGCTGGGGAAAGGAAATAGTTCTGGCTCACTCAGTTGGCCGTGGCACAGATAAAACGGTTCTAAAAAATATTTTTGTCATCTGTGTAGTTCTGGCATATAGCTCCAAAAAAAAAAAACAAAAAAAAACCCCAAAAAAACCCCACCAAGAATCAGTATGACTGCTAGTGCTAAAACATCAATAGGCTGCAGTGGTCATCAGCTTGAAACCTAATGCTTCTTTGGTGAGACCAGCTAGATAGCAGCAGTCACTGAATATCATTGGAACACAGTCAACTTTTTAAGAGTTTTCAAATTCCTCTATCAATGTACTTTGTTTTAAATAACTGGTAAGTTGAGGGAAAATGAAGGGTTTTTTCTCCCAGTAGTAGATATGCTTGACTTACCTTTAGAAAATTATACAGAAAGCTATTCTTTTTTGATGTGCTTATACTGGAAGAAGTTCTAGTATGGACAAGATGCCTTAGCAAAAGCATGCCTTTGCTGAGGTGTTTTCTGTAGTTCTGGGAGGTGCCCCAAGTTCTCTGAGTCTTGCCTCTGCATTGGGGATTTATCAATGTGCTGTAGCAATTAATCCTGTCATGTCCAAGTCAGATCCTGGATTGCAAAATGATGAAGTTTTTAAACATCTCTTCCTTACCTAGCCCAAATACATGCCTTTTATTATTATTATTATTCGGGGATTTTTTATTAAATCTTTGTTGGGAAAAAAAAAAAAGGGAAATATAATGTATGGAAAATTCATGTAGGTGGTGGGAGTTTCAAAATCAGTACCCAGTCTGTGCATTTTACAGGGCTCTACATCAATGTCGTCTTATTTCCCCAAAATAGCTGTATTGCCTATCAAAATTTAAGGTGCTTGGGACAGTAAAAGTCTGCCTGGAACTATCAGACTAAGCGAAAGGATGGTTGAAGAGCTGTGATATAGGTAGTGGGTAGTTAGTCTAACAGCAGATGTAACGTCCTCCTAGCACTAAGTTCATAGTGTAGAGGCTCTGTAGATAGCTGCCACGTGAAGAGTTCCAGACAAGTATTTTGACAAGTGTATAGCTGCTACCCATGTGTGTTGTTTAAATGAAATACTTAGTTCAATTTAGAGGGGAAGGCAGAGATGAGTAGTTTGCAACTACTTTTAAAGTAGTCTCTGTGCTCCAAATTACCTTCTGTCTATTTATATTTTGAAAGTCGGAGAGTGTCTTCTGTGAACATCTTTCTTAAGCTTCTTTTAAAACTCTACTATTATAATTATATATGAATAGAATGGTTTGTTATGTGGATTGGCAAATGTACTTAAAGCTTTAATTAAAGATGTTTGCTTAGTCTTGCCACATCTGATGGGCATGAAGCCAAGGCACCTTTCTTCATGTTATGCTTCTCTGATCTTTCCAAATAGTTGTGTATTTAGCTGTGCTTTTTTTGACTTGGTTCAGTAGGTTTTACCATTTCCAAGAGATTTGTGAAAGCAATTATTTGACTTTGGTTGCATTCTATAATTAATTGTAATTATGTTGTTTGAAGTTTAGTAGGGTCACATCTGTTCTACATTGAGTAAATCTTTGTGGAGCCTGTGTCTGCCTTCCAGTGAAAGATAAACAAGACATTCTGAAGTCCATCTGCAGACCTAAGATTTAAATTAAGCTAGAATTTTTCAAGAATGCCTAACTAGCTTAGTTATTAATTAAAAAACCAATGTTGTTGAGAAACCAAAGGACACAATGGCACTCTGACTTTACCTGGTGATTAGCTATAGTTAGTAGCACTGAATAGACCTATTGCACCTTATCTTCTGCACAGTCCAAAAAACCCCAGGGATAGATGACTTTTGAACTCAAAGCACACTCACTTGTATGTTAGTTTGAAAAATATTTAGTTTTCTCAGATATTCTTAAAAACTATTTTACCCAGGGCTTACTTCTAACTTTACATTTTTGTTAGGTGTTTTGACTAGTTAGCTTTTATCACTTACCTGCAAAACTGATTTCTTCCTGATACAAAAAGGGGAAAAGTAGAAAAAAATTAATATGTATATAGAATTGTGATTCTTGTTTAAATGTCTCATGGTACTGCTCTACAAAACAGACACTTCTTGAGTTAATATTTGCTTGGTTTAGTATTAAATTTTGGAGAATATGCAATAAACCCTCTACTATCACTTGCAGGGTTTTGCTATGGGTAGTAGTAATATTCTGAGTGAAGAATTAACAGATTTCTTTTTTCATTGTTACTTTCCTTTCTGTGACTGTTTTACATCCAGCTCTTTCCAGCTCACCCCTGCCCCCAGACGAAGGAACCATCTCTTGCAATAGAGGGGATTGGTAGCTTGGGGCATCTTTCCCCAAGGGCTGCCACCAGTTACAGTACTAGCATTATCATACAAAGAGAAAATATTTTCATTCTATAACTATTAGCTTTTTCTAACTTCTATTTTGCTGTAATTTCAAGATATTGTAGGAACAAACAGCTAAAGATTTGTTTCAGATAAGCTTTGCTTTTAATATGTTTTCAGAAGCCAGTGTCGAGTTTGAGACTTAGTCATCTATCTAACATGTCAGTATTTGATAAACAGGAATCAGTGTTGTTGTGTGTGATGTTCATAAAGCACATTCCTTGAGTACTTGTAAAAAAGTATATGCATAGAGGATTTACATTTGTTCAAAAGCAGATTTGGAGAAAATACAGTGATTTTGATCAAAATATTTTATTAGCTGTTTACATCATCCTCATGTCTTCTCTGATTGGTTATTTTCTTCTATGTGTGGGGTAAAATAATTGTTCTTGTGTTTTATATTTTTCTGTTTGCTTTATTTGTCAGACATTTAATATTAATAGAGTAATACAAGGCTTTCATTGCATGTTTTTATGGGAGGGGTTTGAAGATGTATTATCTGTAAAATAAACTACTAATCTTTCTGTAAATGGCAACAAATGATCTGATTATTTTCATAATGATTTGGAGCTTTTTATCTGATTCCATTTTCAATAGGAAAATCATTCTATGCAAAATGCACATAAAGCTAATCTGGGATTGCTCTTCCAACAATTATTATAAAAGAATTTATTCCTTTTAGCTTTATAAAGTGTCTTAATCTATTTGGTAGAACCTGCAGTGTCAAGCAGGTGTATTTGGTTGTAATTTTCTGCTCAGAAATAATTGTACTGGAAGGGATCTTACTGAAAGTTAGCAACATAGTGATTACTTCTGGTTTTACAGTATACATTCATATATATGTGATGTTTAACTTCCATAGATAAATATGTTTTATGCTTTGCTGTGAAAAATACAATATCAGTTTTTCCATGTTTTAGATTAAATAAGATTATGAATCAGGTGGCCATTCAGCGAAAGAAGCATTTTGTTGAACGGGTGCACAGTTACTGGTTGCTTAAAAGACTGTCTAGGAATGGTGTTCCACTCTTGAGAAGGCTGCAATCCAGTTTACAGTCACAAAGAAACACACAACAGGTATGTGACGTACTTTTTATTTATAAGAAGAAATTGGAAATTTTCTATTTTATTGAATTAAAAATAAGCTAGGAAGCCTAGCACAAAGTAAAAACTTGTTTTACTCAGGAATGAATAAATTATTTGCCCTATTCTGAGGTGATATTGCCTATTTTGGCAGTTGGGAACTATCTAATACTTTTTAATATGTGAGATGTAAAAAAAATTGTGCAGCTTTTTCTTCTGTTTTGCTTAAATGTTTCACAAAAATACTATAATCACAAATAAAATGCCATTATTCTTTGGTAAGTGTTGTAGTTTTTTGGAACTCATTCTTGCAGTGTACTGTGAGATAAAAAATAAGTTATTTTAAATTCATCAAAAGATGCAAACAGATATCTTATTTGACACTTGAAAAAAAAGTGGATTTTAACAGGGTAAAAGGTTGAACAGATAGTCTATAGGTATCAAATTCAGATCTGTATTGCCCACCTTGTTTGGTAATAACAAATTGGAAGTTGTTGATGAAGTTCAAAGACCTGTTTCAGCTTCTGTTTTTGCTTTTATCACAGTTAAGCAAGATTGTAGACAAGCATAAGTTTAGTTGTACATTGCTATGAATAAGTTGCTGAAAAACATCAAAACAGCAACTCCAGGTGGTCTGATTTGGTTTCAAGTTACTGGACAGCTTCAAAAATAATTAATACTTCCAAATTGTGTGGATCCATGCATGCAGACTTTGAAATGTTGTGAAGCATCATGATGTGGAAATTTTAACTGCATTCAAGTTACCTTTTTTAATGGAATGGAATGTGTCGGTGGATGTGTTCTTTCCACTGTCCTGGCACTTGACTTCCTGTAAAATAGCTTCTAAAACATAGGAATTAATTTTATAATAATTTACTTGTATTAAATTGAATTCTTTCCCCCTCTGAAGTGGAACTGTTATTTTTGTTAGAATTGTATTTCTGTTTGCTGATTAAGTAATTGATTGATGTAGTCATAAAAAATATACTGTGATCAACACTGCTTCCTAATTATTTGATCTGTCATGTTTGTGCATGTTTATTTTTTTTAGCTTTTCTTATTTAATAATTTCCAGAATAATTGAGATTGGAAAGGACCTCTGGAGGTCATGTGGTACAACCCCACTGCTCAAGCAGGGCCACTTAGAACAGCACCATGTCCAATTGGCTTCTGAGTTATCTCCAAGGGTGGAAACTCCATACGCTCTCTAGGCAGCTGTGCCAGTGCTTGGTCACCCTTTCAGTTCAGAAAAAACACAGGAGTCTTCTGATGTCTTTTCTTACTTTGTGCCCATTTCCTCTCGTATTGTCTCTGTGCACCACTGAATGGAGCCTGGCTCCATCTTCTGCCTTCTCCCTTCAGGTATTTGTGTATTGGTGAGATTTCTGCCCCAGCCTCTTCTCCTCCAGGCTAAACAGCTCAGCTCTCTGAGCCTTTCCTCATAGCTGAGATTCTTAAATTCCATTTACATGAACTCCTTTTAGGTGAACTTTGAATATAGATCAACCACTTGTTTATCTTGTTTTCATTGTTTCTGTATTACTCCATTTTGAAGTTTGATTAATCTTTTACTTCTACATGAGAGGCTCTAAAGAATGTACCTAATTAGTGTTACCTAATAGTAATTAAGATAAATTTATTCAGGCAATAAACTTCTTTATAAATGAACTTACAAAATCCTAAAGATATGCACAGAAGTGTGGTGCTATTGTGGCAGTATAGAACTAGACCATTGTTATTGTACAAAAAATTATACAAGCCAGTTTTCTTCTGGGATGGTATGATAAGGGTGTAACATTTCTATATATTTAAATAATGACTATTACAATAAAACTCTTATTGTAATTGATGTTCGATTAAAATAAAATAGGCCTTTGATATGAGCATTTTAAAATTCCATTACCTGTTTACACTTCGGTAAAAACAGTTCTTTATTTTCTTTTCTAATTTGAGATCGATTCTTAATGAAATAATATATTCTAAATAAATTGGAAGCTATTTATATTGGTCTGCTGAAAAGTTTGTTCTTTTGAAAAGTAAAATCTAGTTTCAAGGTGAGCTGAGTTTTGAATGAGTCTGTTGATGAAAAATATGTAGTTGTGCTTTTCCGTGAGTAGCAAGAGTCCTGTGTATGACCTTGTGTCTTTTCCAGAGCACTTTCAATAGGTATTTATTAAAGCGGTCATAACTGCAAAGCAGTTAATGTATTTTGTTACTCCCAAGTATAAACCAATTTGTAATCAAGACAATAAGCAGTAATGGCATACCTGTTGTGAGAACACCTTAAAAATTTTTAGATAGGCATGATTATTTTGTGCATTTCAGTCCAGATAGGAAAATTATTTTTATTTTATGTGAGGGATCAGAATATCAAGAAACCTACATAGACTTTTCAGTTAACCAAATATAAACAGTGATGTAAGAAGATTCAGGGTTTTTAAAAATTGTTATTTAAACAGAAAATAAATGTTATAATGACGACCCAAAACCTGGTTCCAAAATGGTTTCAGGATGCATGGTGGAAAGTGGTTTTGATCCCTCTCTGTTTGGTTACTGGAACAAATTTGGCAAAGGGTCTTCATGATGTAGACTTACTTCCTAATAAATGTGTTTCAGAGTTCAGTTATGGTATAGTTTTGAAGATGTAAGAGTTCTAAACCAGGATAAAAGACCTAGGATGCCTCACCATGTGCAGGAATAAGGAACTCTGTAAGAAAATGGTTTATACTCTCACTTCTCTCTCCACCTAGAGAAATTAAGGAAGGGTATTGGAATACTCTAATAGATTTGCATCCTCCTTATATTAGTTTTTTTTCCCTGAACTTCAAGAACACTTCACTGAAAATAAGGTATGAAATGTAAATGTAGAAGCTTGCTGCTGTTGTAGTGATGTTAGTTTAAAGCCACTATTAGAAGAAATAAAGGAGAAGGTGCTGATGACTTAAGGTCACACCTGTACTGAAGATTTCATTAAGAACACAAGCTGCAACCACTAAATGGTTTTGTCTGATTGCCATACAAGTCCAGTAGAGCATGCTAATAAAACTAATTGTGTTGCTCAAGGTCCAGTTTCATCACTGTCATTCTATTTTTGTTTGTATGGTATTAAGTTACAGTCTCTCTAAGGAGCGAGGCTGTTCTCACACATTTACATCCAGCATAAGGAGAGACATAGTGCTACCCTGACAGTATTCCTGCTGGTATGGAGACACTGATTGCATACTAATGGCCAGATGAGTTCTCAGCTGCTGCTTGTTCTTTGTGTAGACTTCAAAATGTTTTCCTCTTCCCTCAGTATTAACAAATAGGTAACATTCTAGGTAATGCTTATTCTAGGTAATACTTAATACTAGGTAATATTTCTAGGTAATACTATGTTCAACAAGAACTAAGTCTGTTGGAAAATCATAGAGTCACAGAATGGTTTGGAGTGGAAGGATCCTTAAAGATCATCTGGTTCCCACTCTGCTGCCATGTGCAGGGATAGCTTCCACTAGACGAGGTTACTCAGTGCCCCACCCAGCCTGAACTTGAACACTGTCAGGGATGGGGTATTTAGTAGCTTCTCTGGGCAGCCTGTTTCAGTGTCTCACCACCCTCACAGTCAAGAATTTATTCCTAATATCTGATCTATATTTTCCATCTTTCAGTTTTAACATACTGCTCCTTGTCCTATCAGTACAGTTCCTGATGAAGAGTCCCTCTCCAAATGAGAATTTCTTTATACATTTTACTTGTGTCATCAGCCAAATGAAACTTGGTGACTGTCAAGACAGTTGTAGAAAGAAGGAAGAAGAACTTTCCTACCAGAAAGTTCAAAGAAACTTTCTCTGTCAGAAAGCTAAAAATTTTTAAAGGAACTCTTTTTAAGTTTTTACTGGTTGGTTGTTTGAAATGAGTTCGTTATGCTGTCTTCAACTTGTGTGGACCTTTTAATCTAATTAAAGTATAGGTGTATGTCAGATAAAAAATATGTTAGGGCAAAGGAGAGTTATCTTGGCTATTAAGCTGTAAACCGTCTGCCAACATTATTTCACATAGAAGTGTCAAAAAATTGGAGGCTTGCTGTTAATCTCCAAGCCAGAGTGCCATTCAGAAAGGTAGTGTATGCGTGCAGAAAAAAAATGCAGGCAGGGTGCTCTTGATATTTTGAGTCACATCTGCAGATTGACAAGTATATGCCTATTATATGGAATGAAATTGGTAAAACAACTGACTCAGGTAAAATATGTTTATTTTATTTGAGTGCAACTGCACCTTGAGGTTCAGCTAAGTACTTAGATGAGTAATAAACTACCCTAAGGCCTAATGTTAATGCTGTAACATTATTTTTTCTTGCTGTATTTAAGTTTCCTGATGCACCCTAAAACTAGTATGCTTTGAATCTGTTTTCTAGAGGAACCCCTTCAGAGGTGCTCTCCCAAATTTGCCCTGAACCAGGACATTGACTCAGATTACATCAGGCTCAGTTCCCCATTTTCTTAAATTATGTGGTTAAATAGGGCAAAAGAGCAGGCTATGAATGTTGCAAGCAAAGGGAGGACAAACCTTCTACTTCTGGCAGTTTAATTTTGGTTCTGACAAACAGTTCAACTGAAAAAATTGTACAGCTAAGAATTGGGTTGCATTTCCACACATGAGGTTTATACTCAGAGCTGAAGGGGTTTAGGAGAGTAGCAGTTAGTGGCAGTGTAGACTTCCTATTTCAGTGAGCCTCCTCAGAATTTTAAGGAATTGAAAATTATTGAAAAAATTCTTAGCAGTCAGAATTTACTTAGAACTATTCTGACCCTAGCAGTTAAATTATCTTGTGTCTGTGTAAAGATTTAACTCTTTAAAAAGAAATTACAACTCTCATTTGTAATAGCCATTGGGAAAGAGAACTAGAAGTTTCTAGCTCCAGTTTTTTGTTGTTTTTATTGGTTTTTTTTCCTTAATGAAAAGAGGAACCAACTCTTATTTCCAAATTGATATATTCTAGTGCAGAAATAGTTGATATTTTAAGTATTTTCAACTTCACTGAAGTCAGAGATTTGAATAAACTAAGCTTTGCCTTTACAAAGTACATGAAGCAATAAAATACAATGCAGATGATAGAATTATAGTACTGGCAAATCTGTTAAATAATATTTTTAAGTTTCCAGTTTTTGTAACTCTGGTTTTAGAGCCAGCTATCTGAAAATTGCACAAGCTTCTTTTAGAGGACCTATGGTACTTCTAAATTATTCTTCTCTTAAGGAACTTAGGGCTTTTGGTGTGATAATTTGTAATGTTGTTTGTTGTTCATCTCCTTAGCCACTTTCCTTTAATCCTCTGTCTTCTATAAATAAAAGCTGATGGAATTCACTAGTTTTGTTTTAGGTTATAGAACACCCTCCAAGATGACTTTAAAAGTGTATATTGTATTGTGCAAAGTTTTGGCTATCTCTCGGAGATACTTTTATAAAATACTCATTTTTCAAATGTAATAGTTTTCCAAAGCAGATGTTTCTTTTGTGTAATTCATACTAATATCAGGAATTCAGTTTCTTTATGGCCTCATTTCTGGCGAAATACCAATACCATTTGAATCCTGTAAGTAGTAGTCTAGTATCCACCCTTTTCCTTATGCAAAATAGTAAAGACAAACAGACACTCTGGGTTTTGTATGTACAAATCAATCTAAATACTACAAGTGTTTAAACATTACTTACTCTGAAAAATGCGTAGATTAAATTCTTTCATCCATTTTCCAGAAGGGTGTATTGCTGCATTATTCACCTGCAATACCATTTGAAGTTACTATATTATCTAATAAACAGCTTTTCATTTCCTGTCCTCACAAGCCATAATTTTGTTTTGTTACAAATGTGTCCTAGTTCTGCTGGGTGTGAGGGAGGTGGACTGTGTTGACCACATGAGTAATTTGTTTCTGCCAGGCTGGAGCTTCTAAAGAAACTGTGGTGTTCACCTAGTTTGGATTTTGATGCAAAAATCCTGTATTGTATTTTGCAGCTTGTTGTATTTCTCGGGTGTCGTTTGCTGTGTTGCTTCTTCTGATGTCAATAGCCACTGGCACAGCATTGCTTTCTAGTTTAGATTTTATTTTCAATTAGACCTTTGAGTAACTCTGGAAGATAACCTGACCACAGGTTATGTGCATGAAGCTGATAAAGCTTATGAGCAAGTGCCATAACTATAAGACAGTAATTTCTCCTTTCATGTGCATATGTTTTGTAGTTGTGTAGAACTATCTTATAAAAATAGGTATGCATTTTTCTTCTCATGAAAATGTTTTGATTCTTTTCTTAGAGAGAAGATGATGAAGAAATGCAAGCCTTAAAAGAAAAATTGAAGTACTGGCAAAGGCTGCGCCATGATCTTGAAAGAGCACGTTTATTGATAGAACTTATACGTAAGCGTGAAAAATTAAAAAGAGAGCAGGTAAATGCAGCACCTTTTAATTTGGTGAAGCTTTTCTGAAGGAAAGATGATTTAAGTATTCTCACAGTTTTTTCAATAGAAGGACAGCTGTATTTTAATCCTCACATAGGGTCAAGTAAAATATGTGCATGCTGTGCACTCAAACTATTTAAAATATATAAAATTGTCATACAATCATAGAATGGCTTGGGTTGAATGGAACATTTAAGAATTGTATAGTGCAACACCTCTTCAATAAACAGGAACATCTTCAACTAGACCAGATTGTTCAAAGCCCCATCCAATCTAATTTGGATGGCATCTACCACCTCTCTGGGCAACCTGTTGTTCCAGTGCTTCACCTTCATTGTAAAAAATTTCTTCCTTATATGTAGTCTGAATCTACCCTCTTTTACTTTAAAACTGTTACCCCTTGTCACTACAGGCCCTACTAATCTGTTTGTCCCCATCTTACTTATAAACCTCCTTTAAGAACCGAGAGGCTGCAGTAAAGTTTAATTTGGGCCCTCTCTTCTCTGGGATGAGCAACCCTATTTCTCTCACCCTTTCTTCAGAAGAGAACTCCACTCTGATCATATTAGTGGCTCTCCTCTGGATTCACTACAACAGCTTTATGCCTTATGATGGGGGCTGCAGAGCTGGATGCAGCAGTGTATCTGGGGCCAAATGAGGGCAGGGTAGAGGGACAGAATCACCTGCCTTGACCTGCTGGCCACACTTCTTTCTATACAGTCCTGGATACAGTTAACTTTCTAGGCTGCAAGCACACTTTGTCAGCTTATAATGAGGTTTTCATCCACCAGTACAACATCTCAAGTTCTTGACAGAGCTGGAGCTATTCATCTCTCAGCTGTACTCAGGTACTGATTCCTGGGGTTGCCACAACCCAGGTGCAGGAGGACCTGGAATTCAACCTTGTTGGGCACCATGAGATCCCCATGGACCCACTTCTTGAGTTTGTCCGTGTCTGGATGGGATCCTGTTCTTCCTGTTGATCCTGTGTCAACTTCACAATTCATTTTGGTGTCATCTGCAGATTTGTTGAAGGTGCACTTGATCCTTTGGTCTTCTGTCATTGATCAAAATACTAACTACTGCTGGTCCCAGTACAGATCCCTGAGAGACACCACTCATTACTGATCTCCATCCAGAATCTAAACCATTGATCACTGCTCTGAGTGCAGCCATCCAGCCAGTTCCTCACCTGAGGAGCAGTCCAGCCATTGAATCCATCTCTCTTCAGTTTAGAGGGAAGGATGTTGTTGAGGACCGTGTCAGAGGCCTTAGAGAAGTCCAGATAGATGACATCTTCCCTTGTCTGCTTAAAAGAGTTACTCCATCGTAGAAGGCCACTAGGTTGGTTAGACCACTAGGTTAGTTAGGCAGGACTTACCCTTGGTAAGACTACTGTTGAATCATCTCCTTGTGCCCCACATGGAAGGTTTGCCTTATGAAATGATCCATAATGCACTCCAGGAGTCTCCTACAGCTCATTGTGCTACTTTTCCAGATGTCAGAGTGGTTGAAGACCCCAGCAGGACAGGAGCCTGCGAAAGCAGTGCCTGTCTGTAGCTGGAGCAACAAGGCTTTGTCACTAGGCTCCCCTAGATCTGAAATAAATACCAACAACAGGGTTCCTTCTCTCACCTTAGTGCCTAAGCTTTCAACCTGCTTATGGCTTTTCTTGAGACAACTCCTTACAGTATATTAATTTCTCAATGTAGAGGGCAGCCCCACTGCCCCTTGGTGTGCTCTTGGCCCTTCTGACCATCCATAGTCACACTTCAGTCATGGGATTCGTCCCAGCAAATTTCAGTAATGGAAATCAGGGTGTAGCTCTCTACCAGCACTGTGACCTCCAGCTCCTTCTGTTTGTTGCCCATGCTGTGTGCATTGGTATAGAGAAATTATTTGAGAAGACATTCTCTTAGACTTGAAAAAGTGATTGGTTTCTGAAGAACTGTAGAAGATTTGATCTATTCAGGTTTTCTCAGTACATGTCCACATACTCAGAAGCAACATGTCCATATACTCAGAAGCATTTTATCCTTCTGTCATGAAAAAAGCAAAAATAAAAGTTGCATCTGAAGTCCTATGACATTCTACAGTTAACATTGCCAGGAAGAGAGATTTGAGGAAGTGATAATGCAGAAAGATAAAATCTTACCATTCAATTTTACTTTTGCAAACTGTGAACATTCATTGCAAGCTAATATAATTTGTCCTTCTGGAGTGCTTTCTGGAATTCTATGCATCAATCATGTGGGATTTATGTATCACTTGCTTTACACGTGTATTTATATGCATTTACTTTGTGTGTGTTTGCTTATACTTTATGTATATAGATTATATACACACACCCTTAGTCTTTCATTAAGAATTTCTTTAGACATAGCAAGACTGTTTCATTGTTAATAACTCTTAAATCAGCCAGAAAATTAAGCTACAGAGGAATTGAAATAGTGTCCAAAAATATGAAGGATATTGAAGTATTTGAAAATGTTGATTCTGTTTTCTGAAATAATTTTCTTGGAATTTATGTAGAACATTTTCTTTCCAATTACTCTTTGTTTGGGACTTAAGTAGCCGGTAAATGAGATTCTCTTTAAACTTCAATCATAGCAGTACAACTGAAATTGAATTTGAAACGTTACCTTTAAATTCTTACTACTTTCACATTGCTGGTGAATTGTGAAGCTGTTATTATGTAGCATTTTTTGTTTCACTTTAAAATGTATTTTTTTTTAATTCTTACATATAAAATACAAATTTGAGTTCTGGGAAGCTGGAGTTGAAGGAATGAGAATGATTTTTTTTCTTACGAAATTATTAGCTAAAAACCTATGTCAGATAAATGCCAGCTGATGATATTGAAAATAGCATTGAACACATTTCCTTAAATCCTCCTTAAGTATATTTATATTTTATATTTTCTCTAAAATACTATACTGTTGCTGCTAAACAACTTTAATACACCATGTTAATGGAAAATGCTCACTTGGATAACTTACTTCTTTAGGTCAAGCTTGAGCAGGTTACTATGGAACTTCAGCTTATTCCATTCACTGTACTTCTGCGATCGGTTCTGGATCAGCTGCAGGAAAAGGATTCTGCTCGTATATTTGCTCAGCCAGTGAACCTTAAAGAGGTATGTTTGCAGCTGTTTCCTGATGTTTACATGTGGTTTGGTGGTACTTAAGTACAGGAAACAAGTCATTACATGCCGAGTTAGAAGCAGTGTTAGCTTTTAATCTTTATTCTGATAATTAACATTATGAGTTATGGTCTACTGCTATGAAAGCCTTTTTATGCTTATATACCAAAATAATTTCTGCAAAATACTTGTGCAGAAATGCCCCATCCTTGTATGGAATGTTGGGTACATACTTATACTTTTCAGTAAGATGATCTTTGTAAAGCAAATTCGAAGGATATCAAAAATTAGAAAGCAGATACTGTGTTCTTGAAGGTGAAACTAGACAGATTTAGAGTATACACGTGTGCATTTGTGCATATACTGTATACACATGTATTATATGTAGTATCATTAAGGTTGAAAAAGACAGCCAAGATCATCAAGCCCAGTCTTTGACCTAATACCAGTATGCCAACTAAACCATAGTGCAAAGTGCCACACCCATTTGTTTTGAGCACTTCCATGGATGGCCACTGCACTACTTCCCCAAGGAGCCTGTTGAATTCTTAAGTACCCTTTCAGTGCAGAAATCTTTCCTAATATCCAACCTGAACTGCCTCTGGCGCAACTTGAGGCCATTTTCCCTTGTCCTATCACCAGTTGTCTGTAAGTAGGAGTATGTAAAACCACAGAATTCCCAAGAAAAAGTAGTTTCAGCATCTCTTAGTAAAGCTCAAACTTGTTACCTGAAATGCAGACTACTGTAATACGTAAACTTCTGTTGGCATGCAAATGTTTGCAATATCTAGATGTGCAATTCTAAGTTACATCTTAAGTTTCTTGTATTGAGCTGTTACAAGATACATTTAAAAAGCGAATAAGTTACTAACTAATGTTACTTTGTCTGTAATAAGGCCATTTTACCCATTTGTGTTTTAAATATTTTTTCAAAGGTTCCAGACTATTTGGATCATATTAAACATCCTATGGATTTCTCTACCATGCGGAAACGGTTAGAAGCTCAAGGCTATAAAAACCTCTCTGAGTTTGAAGAAGACTTCAATCTGATCATAGATAACTGTATGAAATACAATGCAAAAGATACAATATTTTATAGAGCTGCAGTGCGGTTAAGAGATCAAGGAGGTGTAGTTCTCAGGCAAGCCAGGCGAGATGCTGAAGGAATTGGTTATAACAATGAAACTGGAATGCACTTACCAGAACGGCCTAAACTTGAGTCACCACAGCCTTTCTCTTGGGAAGATGGTAAGATGTTTTTCAATTATTTTTTATAAAGTTGCATTTTTCATTGCATACAGCATGTATGTTCCATACAGATGTTTAGTATTGTTGCTGTCCAGTTTGCTAACTAGATTCTCCACCCCCCCATTAAAAACATCACTTGAAAGCAACTGGTGTTTCTATTCTACCAGATCTGTCACTACACATCAGTGCTGTCTGGATTCTGATTTTGGAAGTGTCAGAGCCTAATTTAACAATTTACACGGAAAAGGGTTTTAAGTTGAGTGCTTTTTTCACATGATTCTATATGCTTGTAAGTTATGGAAAACTAATAAACTTCAGCACATTCCTAAATAACCTACTCAAAAAATTGAGCACATTTGTAATGCTAGGAATTAAAACTTATGTTTTTGACATACATGTGAGCTCTCTAAGATTTGGCAGTGGAGGAGAATAATTAACATATTTCTTTTATAACCATAATTTTGTCCTGTTCTTTAACAAGAAGGAATTCATCTGTTCAAGTGGGAAGGATTAATTATGTCTTCTTTCTGACCTTTTTCTTCTTTGCTCTACTACTTAGTTTTTTTGAGCAAAATGCCTATTAAGAAAAATAGTAAATATATAGTAGGAATTAATTCCAATATTTCTGACTATAAATAGGCTTTTGACAATATTTTTTTATTTTGGCATGCAAATTCAATTTTTTTTTCCTTTTGTTGGTATTACTGTTCTGAGACTATTCTGGGAAATGCTAACACGTTTCCAATTGTGCATGTTTTGACTTCAGTGGATAGGTTACTGAATCCTGCAAACAGAGCACATATGTCCCTGGAAGAACAGCTGAGAGAGCTGCTAGAAAAACTTGATCTCACCTGTGCAATGAAATCCAGTGGGTCAAGGAGCAAAAGAGCAAAGCTGTTAAAGAAAGAAATCAGCATTATTCGCAACAAACTCAGTCAGCAACACAACCAAGCTCCTCAAATAGAGTCAGGTATTGGAAGTTTCGAGGAAGAAAGTGCAGCATTAGAACAAGATGGAGAAGAAGAAGGTAAGATTGTAAACCAGGTTTAAATGAGTACTGTTCTGAGCCGCTTCAGTCAGGTGCTGTGATGTGAGTAATAGTGTGAATTAAAGAATTTGATAAACTAATATTAAATCTAAAATACTGATTTTATAATTAAAATTATAGTTTTAAAATATGAAAATAGCTGCTTAATCACAACAAATATTTTAAGAGTAGTATGATCTTCTTTAAAAAAGCTCCCTCCATTACTTTTCATGGAAGCAAAGCTTTAAAAACTTAGGTGTTTAAAAATGAAAGTGCCAATAACAATTTCATATGAAAAGCAGTTGGAAATGCCTGAGTGGAAGATACCTTTGTTCTTTTGGAAATACACTTAAATGTCAAAATATGTATTAGGGATCACATGAGCCTAGGCCAATGGTAGTGAAGACTCTGGCTGCCGTACTGTGTTTGTAGCCTTTTTAATTCACTACTCCTGACTCTAGGGAGGACGGTGGGTAGGCTTTCAGGTTCTTTATTTATTTATTTATCTATTTTAAATAAAGCTAACTATTGATAAGACTTAACAAATTTCATGTTGTAGAATAAATTCAGCCACATCTGCCTAGCTCTTCCCCTTTTGCTTCTCTTCCTCCTCAAATCATTTGTCTCAGAACTGCGTCTCCTCTTGGCTAATTGTCGTTGATTTCAATGAGAGCAGTGTGCTGGAAGGACTATCTTCATGTTTTAATTAAATATCATATTTGCATTTTTAGTTTTTAAATTGAGTTTCTGAGGTTTTTATTGCTTATTTTTAAATGATGCAAAGAAAATCTGTCATTCAAATAAGAATTCTATTGACTTTGTTTCATGATTAGCTCTAAGAAACTAAACTTTTCCTTTGGAGAATTAGAGATGTGTTTAATTTTTGAATAAGTGCCTTGAATAGGAGGAGGAAAAAGCTCAAGGGAAAGTGGAAGCATGGTAATAAATAAAATAGTCTCTATTTGTTGTGGCTTAATGCTATCAACATTTTTGAAAAGTGAAGTCAGTAAAATGATTGTCCATAACTGCCATTCAAAAAGCAACTTAGTGTTTAGTTCCAAACATAGAACTTGCTGGAGATTTGAGCATTGGTAGAAAAAGCATACATGAATCAGCACATTATCCTATTCTGAGGTTTTCAAGTATTCTCAAAATGTTTAATGGTTTGGATTTTTTAAATTTGGGTATTTTTTTAATCTTCAAGTGATGATGGTATTAAATACAGCTCTTTAGGAATGTGGGGTTTGGCACTTAATGAATCTACAGCCATTTTTTAATTAGTAGCTTAACATTTTGATGCCACAGCCTTTCACTTCAGCAGTTTTTTGTGAAAAAAGTAGTCGAAAGTGAACAGTAGTGGTTTTCTTATATTTACAGTATGCTTTTTAAATAAAACACGATGAAAGGCACAATCCAGGTTTGATTGGTATGGTTGTTATGGTTCTGATCTAGTGGAGAGTAATAATAATTACTTCAAATTTCAGTTCTTAAATGGAAGGTACATAGAGGAGTAAAGAAAACAAATTACCCAAAAAGAGATGAGAAAAAAATCCTGTGGCCAGGATCTCTACAGGAGCTGACTTTGATAGAACTTTGAATTGCCTCTGTGCAATTCTGTTTCCAGTCTTTGATCATGTGAAAAATACAGTACCAGAATAACCCTGTGAAATTTAGGTTTTATCTCTAAATAATTCTCAAGTTATTTTGTGTTCTTTAATCTTTCCACAAATATTTTCTAATTAGTTGTAAGAAAATCAGAATTTGTTCAGAAAGAAAGTCACTGTGGAGATTTTAAAATACAGGATATTTTAATGGCTGATAGTTTAAATGTGCTTATCTGACTGTACATTTCATTCTACAGTCTTCCTGAAATATTAGTTGCCAAATATAATACCTGTGTGCCTGCAAATTATATAAGCACAGTCACACTGTATTTTAAAAACAAGTATGTTTAATATGAACTATGCTATTGCTTCATTAAACCTTAAATAATGGGGTAAGGATTTTTCTGCACTTAGAAATCTTTGATTTCCAAGTAAACATTGCTGGGCCAAAACCAAACAAAATAAACTGCAAATAGAGAACTTAAACACTTTGGGGTTTTACACCTTTCTTCAGGTGGCATAGAAAATTTAACTAAGTTTAAATATTTTATGTGATAGCATAAATAGTATATTTGTGTTATACAGTTACTCTAGAATAAGTATTTCCTTTCTTGTATTTTGAACCGTTCTTTTGGAAGCTAGAAAGATTTTACCATCTTCTTGAGTTGATAATTATGGGTTAGGACATCCATCTATTTGTATTAGGGAATGCTGCAATAATACAATGTTTATTTTCTTCCCCATTGCTTGTGATAAACTGAAACTACCTTTATACACTCACTGTCATTTCTCTATTGTCTTTTCCCAGTATGCATTTAGTGGAATTAAGTGGGACATGATCATACTAAAAAGTATTAAATTGTGGAGGGGGAAGGGGAGAAAAATGGTAGAGAGTGTTTTTTCTGATTTTTCACATCAAATCTGCATTATCAAGCATGTTATTTGTCAGCTAGTGGCCAATTGCAAGATTTTGGGGGTGTTGGGTTTTTCTTCTCCATTTTTATTACTTTTTCATAGCTAAAACTTCTAGTCGCAACTGTAAAAAGGCTTTACAAATCATGCCCTTTTGTAGATTTTGTAACACATTTTAGTTCACTCAAGTAGAACAGGTTACAAGTACTTTTTTTTTATTGGTTAGCTGATAAAATTTTTCATAGGCAGGTAAGGTGAATATTGATAAGGTGAAATAGATAAAAACGTATGTTATCAAAAATTTTATTTGAATGGCAGTATAATTGCATTTAACAGATAATCATCCACCACCCCAACTCCCTAATGAAAAAATAGTTTGTAGTTTTTACTTAATGAAACTAACATAACTGCATGAGAAGAAGCAAGTACTTATCCAGGTATAAATTGTTAACACCAGTTATAGACATCTTCTTTTCTACCCCTGTTACATTCCCAGTATAAAAGTAGGAACTACTAACTAGGACAGATCGTTGCTAGACAAGTTTTGGTTTTAAAATGTTATGCTTTGTTTCCAGACAACAATTTATTTGGTGGGCTGCACATTTATAGTGAGTTTTATAATAGACTTTATAACTACAGGTTTTCAAAAATCACACTCTATTTATAATTTTTTCAGGAGATAAATCTCCCCCTAAACTTGAACCATCAGATGCATTACCTCTTCCTTCAAACTTGGAGACTAATTCAGAACCACCAACCCTCAAACCAGTAGAACTCAATCCAGAGCAGAGTAAGCTTTACAAAAGAGTAAAATTTGATAATGAATTATATAGCACTTCCATTCAGAAAGAAATAAATGGACACACTCCAGAACACTTACTTGACAGTAATCTCAATGAGTCGACTGTTTCTGCTGTAGCTGAGTCATCAACTGATGTAAACAGACGTACTTCCATTCTCTTCTGCAAATCGAAAAGTATAAGCCCCCAAAAGTCTGCAAAGAACACTGAAACCCAGCCAACTTCTCCACAGCTAGGGACCAAAACCTTTTTGTCTGTAGTCCTTCCAAGGTTGGAGACACTTCTGCACCCAAGGAAAAGATCAAGGAGTGCATGTGGAGATTCTGAGGTTGATGATGAGTCCCCTGTAAAGCGCTTGGATACAGGTAAATGTTTACAGAACTTATTTGAATGGATGCATCTGGAAAGTTAACAAACCTGTTAATTTTGACGTACATGTGGTTGTTAATCTTCAGATTATAGCACTTGAAACAGGTTGTCCTCACAGTTGAGTAGTTACAGTTCAGAAAATTGTTATTCATTTTTGTGTTGCCCCTTGACAATTGGATTTACTGAACCAAGCTTGAGTTCTTTAGTTTCATGATGCAGTTTTTAAGATTACACGTATGAGTGTATACGAAAACTGTAGGGAAGATTATTGACTGCTTTTTTGCAAATTCCCTATTAAATTACGTGGAAACTTGACATACGATGCCAAAACCAGAAGGCTTGTAATCAGGAGCATGAAAAATACTTATGCCATGCATGATTTAATTTTGCTGAGTGTTACTCCAAGCATATTTTTACATTATGAAACTGATGACTGTGTATGAGGTACTTTGTGTATCCATGCATTTTATGGAAGTGTTAAAACCCCAACATAAATTGACACTTTATGTGGTTTTTTTTTTTTTTTTTAGTCTGTGCACTTTAAATAGAGTTGAAGGTGAGATTATGCTCTTAATGAGACTTGTCTAAAGGATATTTGAAAGAAAATGTTATCTTGATACATTAGTGCAGAACAATTCAAGACATGAATTATATCTTCTCTTAGCACACCATAGTCCTATTTATTTGAGAAGTTCATATAAAACCTTAGAGGAAGAAAAGCAGCATGAGGAAATTACTTATGGATATTTTCTTAATGTCATCCATGGCCATTGCTATGACTTTAATATTGCCTTTGAAATAAATATTCTGTTTTATTGTCATGTTGGGAACCCTTATGCAGGTATGAAAACAACATGTGGGGATTTGTCACTTTGAATTGAAAGAGTTAAGAGTTTATTTGAATATTAGGTGTGAAGATGTGCTCCAGAAGCTGGGGGGGAACAGGGAAGTTTATCTGGGGGAAAAGGGAAGTGTTGATTGTCAGGCTGTTTCTTTTCTCTTTGGTGGGGATTTTTTTTGTTTTGAATAACAGGTTTTTTCAGGGTGTGGGGCAGTACAGTATGCTTTTTTAATTAGTTAGCTGGGGTTTTTTTGAATGATCAGGTGAGGACACTCATGATTCCAATGCTGAAATCATAGTATGAGTTAATGTTATGTAAAATGCAGTGTGGGGAATGTTTCTCATTTATATTTTTGGGGTTTTGTTTGGTTTGCCTGTTTGGAAAGCCCCAACTTCCATTCATTTTCCTAACAGCTTGGAAAGAGCATGCAGGTTTGATCTGGTACTTTAGTTCTGAAGTAAGTACCAAGTGAAGGCGGTGTGATAATAGAAATTAGTTAATTTTTATTAATACTATAAAAAGCTTTGGTTTCCAAATAACCTATTTTGTCAGTTTATAATCTAGATCATTTCATTATGTACCTGTATATAGATTGCATATTATCTCACACAGTAAATCATTTTGTGCTAGATCACACTGGGAGATAGTACTAATTCCTTGAAATTTTTGCGTTAAACATTGTGAATTTTCTCCTTAGGGGAAGAAAAGGTTTTTATTTTGTAAGAAAACTAACTTAATTCTTAAAGGGGAAAAATGGGCACTAATGAAACCAAAACCCACCAGATTTCTGAATGAATTTAAATTCAGCCAGTTTTCTTTCTCTCTGTGGAGTTAGGTAGAGAAAATATGCTTTTGATTATCTTCAAAACTAAAAACCTAGTTACAGGAATAAAATCCTGAAATTAAAATGTTTTTCTATTGTTAATTTAAAACAAAATTACATACTCTCTTACTGAAGCTAGTACAGATATAAAAAGAATTAAATTTATGTAGAACTAATAGTTAGGGGCATTTATAGTTTAAATTTGTACTTGTTCAAGAAGAGTGAATTGAAACAGTTCAGCCAATTAATATTTACCTGAAAATGTTCTCGTTTTTCTTTAATAGGAAATTTCACATAGGAAATTTTATTCCTCATGTTATTTTCAAATATGTGTCTCCACACTAATTTAAGTAATCTGCAGTTGGCAGCTATCTTGAGCTATAGTTCAGCAGGAAACCAGCACAAATGTCAGATACTTACCAAGATTTATAAACAGTTGAGATTTTTTGTGTATGCAGCTGGTGTTAATTCATGTAGATGTCTGTGTTATGATAAAAATGCATTAGGTGGTGTATACAGCAATACATTCTTTTTCTTTGGTTATTTTTTACAAAATTTAATCTCATACTGTAGGTAAAAATATTTTTATTCAGTACAATACAACAGAGCTTTTTCTTCCAAAGCCACCCAGTCATAGGAAAAGGCATGCAGCAGGCTTCTTGTGTGCATTGACCTGAGTTATCAGCTTTGTGGGAAATCCCTGCAGTTGAAAATTAATTACTGTTGCACAGTTCTCTTTGAATCATGTGAATGTTTGTTATCCTTAATTTTACTGAATACAGAAAAAATCATGAAAACAACCTTTGCTTAATATGCCAAGGATTTAAATTTTGAAGTGGTGGAGAGCTACACTGTCACATATTTTTTCTTTCTTACCTATTCATAGCCAGTATGAGGGTTTTTGACATTCTTTAAGGATGTCTTGTTTATGTCGCTTGCTCTTCAGTCTCTTCAGTGTTTCCCCCTTTCTTGTCACTCCCTTATTCTTACATGACAAAGTTCAAAGGAAGAGTCTAAACTTTATTTAGTTGAGTGAAACGATACCTACCTGGTTGTTTCATTATTCTTATAGACTGCTTTTATTGTGCTCTCTCGACTTTCATTTGGGGTTGATGTTTTTCCAGTTGTTTTCAAGAAAGACACACACAGAATCCACTGACACACTCCTTCATAAGTGCAGTGTCCCACATGCTGTTGGTTTTCATACATAAGATTCCTGAAATGCCAGTCCTTTTTCGTAGGGGACTGTTGAACAACATGAGTTAACCTTCAAAGAGAACTGAAAGCAGTTCACTTCAATACTGTCACCTTTCATATGTGAATCTTTAAAATAGATGAAGCAGGAGTGTAGTGTAATATTAAATTTAAATTTTCTAGTGTTCTATTAGGGCATTGTCTTTGTAGTTGCTGTGTAGAAATTGACAGCTGCATAGTGGAGACGTGTTTAAAAATTTCCTATACATATTTGATGTATTTTGGATTTTTTCCAAAAGAAGATTGTTGTTTACCTAGGAAATTTTGGTGACATCAGAGATTGATGTCTTCTTGAAGGTTGGGCATGTCAAGCCTTAACTGTGACAAGTTTAATGACCTTTTCAAAATACCCATTGTATACTTACCTTGCTCTTTTGTTAGAAAGATGAATTCTTTTTATCAGGGAAATATTTTGTGCAGTTATTACATCAGAGAAAAATGAAACTGATTAATGGATAGAAGGTAGATTTTACTGATCGTTAATAATCTGCCTGCATCAGTTGTGTATTAGTGTGACAGCAGATGGAACAAATTAGTGTTTCAAGAAACCTTTTTTAACACTGTAAAATGCCAGATTATGAGATGAAATTTGCCTGTGTACTTGGTGTTATTAGTCATCTCTAAGGTTTTGTAAATTCAGGTTTTATAATTCATAGTTGTTGTTTACAGTACTCTCTATCTTAATTATAAACTAAGTATTTAAAATATAGTATCCTAAAACAACCACTGTAACTTTTCATAGAATGAGGATTTCAGATAGTGATTATTGTAGTGCAGTATGTTGTGTTTCTATTATTTCTTGTCCGAATGCAGTAGTAGAAAATTTCAGTGAAGTATATAATTTACTTCATATTTTCACTTCCAGCTACACAGATTTTCTCAAGGTGCTGAAACACATGTAAACAAGTATTTAAAATAGTGATCACTGAAGTAGAACATTCACACAGTAAAAAACACAGAGTGGGGGAATTTATCATTTCTTAATCCATACTTCACATGCAGTTATCAGTATACAACAAAGATTTCTTATTCTTATTTAATATTCGATCAAATGCAAACAGAAGTAGCAGTGAGGATTGCTGTTACTTAATTTGATATCATCAGGTTAGACATTGTGTTTGGAGTGAAATAGAACACAGTTAATTTCTAATGAATCTTTCTTCTCTGGAACACAGGCCGATTTGGCTAAAAGTCAGGATTCATATGCACAGCATTCAGTTACCGTTCACTAAATGGAGGAAGTGAAAGTAAGACATGCATATCTAAGATACTTATGTCTTTGAAGTAAATAAAAAAATTAAAATAAAGGTTTCTCAGAAAAAAAAAAAAGCTCCAAATTGGTATAATTTCTCTTGTCGTTAGCACAGACAGGAATGACAGTACATGTGTATATGTACATATATATATAATTAATATTCATTAAATGAGTGTAACAATTTGACTAAATCTATTGACAGATCCACAGTCATGATTTATTGTAGAAACACATAGTGATTGTTTCATGTGAAGTCTGACTGTAAATTTAATTATTTGAGTGCTTAGTGGTGTCCAAGAGCTTTAGCTGCCTGACTAACTCCAAGAGGTTTGGAAACATAAACATTTTAATGTGTATTTGCAAACAAACAAAGTATTAGAGATTGTGAGGAGATTATGAAGGCCTAAAAGGAATTATCTCCTGATTTGTTAAATTTGTCAGTGTAGAGACATGGGGACTGCAGGAGTCTGACTGTTGAGTTGTCAGGATATGTTTGGTTAATTGGTTTTCTAGTAGGTTAATAGGCCACTGGGAAATGTAAGGACCATTTGCTAAGATAATAAAGCAAATTAAGGAGAGAAATTAGAAGGGGAAAATAAAAAAGAACCCCATTGGATTTCTTAATTTCTTTTTGGCCCACTAAAACTTTAGACAGGAGTTCTGCCAGGCCTGTGAAAATTTCTGCCAATGTAATTTCTGGGAACATTTTGAGAGATAGTGGAGGGTTTTTATAATATACATAGACTAAAATAAGTGTATAAGGCAGAAAGACGGGCTAGGAAGCTATTTTATGTCAATCAAAACACTTGCAATGTGTTTTAA